CCGGCTCGCAGGGGAGTTGTGGGCCACTGGCCGGACAGCGGCGTGCTGCGGGCTTGCCTAGCTCCGGCTCGCAGGGGAGTTGTGGGCCACTGGCCCATTGGCACTTGACGCCTAGGGTAAAATATATATTACAATAATACTTAGGTGCGCCCTAAAACCGAAAAAAATGACATCTGCATCCATAGTTTTATTTATTACTGTAAACCATCCGAAAGCCGGCCCTGCGCAGGTCCCTCAACATAATGTGCAATCGATAATAAGCGTCGTTAATTTTTTGTTCCTAATTGCAGCCCAGCCATTCGGCATCGTGGTCGGGCTCTCTGCCGCTGGCGCCTTGGCCGCGAGCAACGGTGGCTGGCCGTCCATTTTCTACGTGACGGGCTCTCTGGGCATGGTGGTAGGGATCTGGATACTGCTGGGAGTGGCCGAGTGCCCCGCACAGCATCCTTCCATGAGTCAGAAGGAGAGAGAATACATCCAGGAGAACTTCGGCATCGCTCCGAGCACTGACCCAGTAAGTCGTAGGGGGGTGGGGGTCGTGGTCGTGGTGAGCGACAATAGTTCAGAATTTTAGAATTTTATCGTTATTATTATTTTTATTAACTTTTTTGTCTCTTTCCTTTGTTTTTAGAAACGACCGACTCCATGGCTTTCAATATTTACATCCATCCCTATGATCTCATTGATTTTGGCTCATTGTGGTCACTCTTGGGCTTTCTGGACCATTCTTACCAAAATGCCCACATATTTGGACAAGGCTTTAGGATATAAAATCCAAGAGGTATACTTCTAACCAAAGAAGAGATTTTCTGAATATTATGTCATATATAGTAATATTTGTTCAAGATATATATTCCTATTTTTGCAGAGTGGACTTTTCTCAGCATTGCCTTATGTTATAAAGTATTTTGTAAGCTTTGGATTCGCTTGGCTCGCCGATTTTATGAATAACCACCAGTACATTTCTCTCAGTCTCAACAGAAAAATTGGCAATTCAGTTGGTAGGTTGTGTTTTCAAAATAAATTGTTTTACATGTGGTCCTATCCTAGAGGTAAGATTTTGACGTAAACACCATTCTTGCAGGTTTATGGGGACCAGCAATCATTTTAGTTGTTTTAGGATTTGTTAAGAGTGATTCCACATCATGTGTAATTATGCTCACAGTAGCTGTTGCGCTTAATGGTGCAACATATGTTGGCTTCAATATAAATCATCTTGATTTATCGCCAAACTATGCATCAACCCTTTTTGGTATCACTAATGCTACAGCAAATATCATGTCATTTATTGCACCTCTTGTGGTTGGTGCTGTGGTGCAAGATGAGGTAATCTTGTCAATATTATTTTAGCTTTCCTCTTTCATGGTTTTCTGATGTTCCAAAACATTACATGCTTAATGTTTCATTTTCTGTCTTACAGAATGATGTGACTCAGTGGCAAACAGCATTTTTGATTGCTGCTGCAGTTAGTTTTGTTGGTAATCTTGCATTCGTAATTGGTGGTTCAGCTGTAAGGCAACCTTGGGATGAACCTGTTAAAACCAATACAGGTAAGGCACTCATCAAAACCTACATTGTTTTATGTAGAGGAGACAGGTGATCTATTTTAGAAATAGGTGATTTAAGAAAACGTTTTTCAGCTGGCGATATTCATTTGACAGAGAATGGAGCTCAAACTAGAAGCGCACCCACAACTCCAGAAATCCGAGTATGATAATCAATGAAGGATGACCACTACCTGAGCAAGAAAGCCCAGAAAAAAGACAGTGTAAATTTTGTTGGATTTTGAACTTGACAACAAGATAGTCAAATTTATCTTATTCCAATGAAGATTTAAGTGGTGAAAATAGGAATTATTGAAGGATAAAAAGAACTACAATTATCCATCTTGAGGTTGTGATTTAGCTTTTTGAACTGCACTACTTTTTATGAGAAGTATATGCCTAGTTAAGAAAACGAAACTTCAAACTGACAAACTGTACATATTACCAGATGCTGTTCAGAAACTAATTAAACTTCTGCCAATTTTACTGTTAGGCCTTATGCTTCTTAAAATTGTTTCTGTTTTTTTTTTTTTTTAAATCATCTCTAGCATTGTTCTTGTACATTAATGTTCAGCGTCATTCCGTTACGTCTGAGACACTTGCTCAAACCTGAATTTTCACTCCATTGTGTTGTGCCTATGTAGAAATCGCTTTTCTCAGGTCTAAATACTAAGTGTCTTTTGGCTATCTATTTTGCATGTTCAAGATAGAAAAAATGTCATGAAAAAGTTTTCTAAGATTTTTAGTGTACGAAGTATTCTACTCTAATTGTTTCTTCATTTTATGATCAGAAATGAAGAACTGTTCCTATTGTAATAATTGTAGACATTACTTGTGCCCACGCAGCAAAAACCATTGGCCCCATATTGCCAAATCTAAATAACTGGTGACATATTTCATAGTTTTTCTTTTCTTCCATAACTAATCATACATTCTCTTTGTGCTCTTTTGCAAGTAAATGTTGATTATGTATATCTCTCTAAGTATTAGCCACGAGAGTTTTATAGAGTAACAATCACCAGTTCATATGAGCAAGTGATGCATTTTAAATACTGAATTAAGGTAGGCTGAACTTTATAGCCTGTGATATGTTTGTAGGTTTAAGCAAATGTTTTTATGGTTTTAGAAAGTATTGAACATTTAGTATGATTTATTGATATAGTCATCACATAAATTAAATGTGTATTTAAGAGTTGTCAAAAGCAGCAATTTGGTAAAAAAATAACTCTGCATACTAGATGTTGAAAGTGACTGCCCTGCAGTAGGTGCACCTGTACCTAGCAGTATGCTGCATTGTTCATATTTTTATGACTGATCAGCAGACAGGAACTGTGATTTTTATTAATTGCATTTTAAATGAGTCATTGGAAATTTGATTGAGATTTCTTTTAAAATAAAATCAACAGTTTGTCGATACAAGAACTGTCATAAACAGATGGGAGACAATTACCACTTGTTCTTCTTAATTAATTTAATGGCAGTGTATCACAACAATTCAAAGAAAAACAAAAAATTCTGCCTCTAGAAGCACATTCTTTTTTTTTTCAAGTTTGTTATTTTGGAGCTGGATTAACAGGCTCTTTTTCCTTTTCTGTTATGTGTCCTGAAACGTGAAAAAGTGAGACTTAATGCCCTTCATTACATTGGTCTTTCGGTTGCTTCAGAAACGGATCCTACATCCAAAAATACCATCTTCAGGCTGGGACCGAAAGACCAAAGTGATATGCAAGAACTACAAAGGGGCTCAGTTTGCGGGTATTCACTTTACAGTATTAAAGTTTTGTTTTTTTTTATAAAGTAATATAAGTCACTGTTATTTTTGTTTTGTATATTATGTGTATTTTT